AATAAATAATTTAAAACAAAAATTGAACTTTGGGGCCAGTGACATGGCTCAGAGGGTAAAGGTGCCAAGCCTGGTGACCTGAGTTCAATACCCAGTAATCACATGGTGGAAGGAGAGAATCAACTCCTAGAAGTTGTCCTCTGACTTCCACGCATGCAGTATGACAAACATACACACATACTCTTACAAAAGTATGTAAAAATGTAATAAAAAATGTGAACTTCATGGGGTACGATGGCTTATGCCTGTGATCTCAACACCTGGAAGACTGAGGTAGAAGAATTTCAAGTTTAAAGTCAGACTAAACTATATAAGAAGATTCTTAGAATTGTTTTTTTACTTTTTTTTTGAGACAGGGTCTTTTTGTAGCCTCAGCTGGCCAGGAACTCACAGGGATTGACCTGCCTCTGCCTTCTGCATGCTGGGATTCAGCTGTTTTGTTTTTTAAAATTCATTCTGTGAAGTAAAAGATGAGCTATGGACTGGGTGCAGTAGTTAATACTGTCAAATTGACAGGATCTGGGATTACCTAGGAGACAAGCCTCTAGGCATGATGCCTTCAAGGGATTTTCAAGATTTGGTTATTTGAAAGGTAGGAAGACCCACCTTAACCATAAGCAGCACCATTCCCTGAGTTGAGTCCTGAATGAAATAAAAAGGAGAATGCAAAGTGGGATGTAGTAGCTCATGCCTTTAATCCCAGCACTCAGGAGGCAGAGGCAGGCAGATCTCTGTGATTTCTAGGCCTGCCTGGAATACATAGCAAGTTCTAAGGCAACCAGGACTGCATAGTGAGACCCCTCTTGAGAGAGAGAGGAGAGAGAGAGAGAGAGAGAGAGAGAGAGAGAGAGAGAGAGAGAGAGGAGATTTTTGTGAGCCTTCATTTGTTTTTTTTTTTTTTTTTTTTTTAAAGATGGGGTCTCCTTGTAGCCCCAGCTGGCCTAGAACTCACTACACTATGTAGATCAGGCTGGCCTTACTCTCACAGAGATCCTTCTGCCTCTGCCTCCCAGGCGCTGAGATTGAAGGGGTGTACCACCTTGCTCAGCTTCTCTCTGCTTCTTGTCCGTTTATGTAGTATGACCAGCTGCCTCATGTTCCTGCTGCCACAACTTCTCTGCCATGACTGTACCCTTAACTGTGAGTCTTTCCTTAAGTTGCTTTTGGAAAGCATTTTCTCATAGCAACAAGACAAGAATCTAGCTGCAAGAAAATTGCTACCAAGAGAGGGTCATTGCTGTGATAAACCTGACTATGTGGTTCATAGGGCTTTGGAACTGGTTTTGGGGGAGAAATATGGGAGATTTTGCAGTGTGTGCTATAAAAGCCTGAGTACTGCACACAGAGCTTAATGGGCCTCTCCTGTGGGAACCTGGAAGACAATAATGCCACAAGAAAGGGTATGGTGGGAGCCTGACTGGATGAGGGCTCAGAAAGGAACACGAGACCTATTAGGATCTAGGCTATGGGCCATTCATGTGATATTCTGGCAAAGAATCCAGCTGCATTTTGCCCACGATCTTGTTATAGGGGCAGGAAGCCCCCTGGGAGGAGGCTAGTCAGGAGAATAAAATCTCTGGCCTGGATAAAAACCCAACTTTCCAGTTTTTCTGGACTTAGCACCACCCTTAGGAAGGCAGGTTCACCTTAAGTTTTTCTATTTTTGTTTTGTTTTTTGGTGGAACATCTAGGTAATGAGATGGTGAAATTTTCCTGAATTCTCACCATTAGCACAGTTTCTGTGGATCTGATTACAGATACGTGCTTTTCTGAAGAATTCAGAAAAGCAAAACCTTCCCTTTTCTTCAGGTATCTTTTCCAGAATACTTTGGGCTGCCCCAACAACTTGTATTTCTTTATTTTTTCTCTAAAGCTTCCTCGTGCTCCTGGGCACATGTCTGACCTACCTCCATACCATGCTCTAAATAGGCATGGCTTTATGACTTTCTTCCTTTGCCCTGGCAACTGTCCTCCTCCTCAAGGCAGCTGCTGAGATTTATGACTTGCCTGACCCAAGGATTGTTCCATAAATTCTAATAAAATTGTCCTAAAGTTTCTGATTTTAATTAATTCTTAAATTCTTTTATGAATGAGACTAAGAATTCTCTGAGGGGTCGGGGGGGGACCCTGTTCTCTCGTGTCAGAAATAAAATCCAAGGTCCAAGGACCCATCAGTACTGCACAAAGAACACACAGACAAAGCAGATTTTACTTTGGCAAAAGGGTGCCTTTCGTGGTCAGTCAGATCCAGCAAGCACACACAGGATCCAGAAGTTTGGTGTGCTTTCATCCCTAACCCAAGAGAACTGTGTCTTTTCCCAGTTGGCTGGAGTCCAACCTCAGTCTTCCAGTTGGCCACTTTTTTTTTTTTTTTTTTTTTTTTTTTTTTTTTTAGTCTTTTTGAGACAGGGTCTCCCTAGAGCCCTAGCTGTCCTGGAACTCACTATGTAGACCAGACAGGCCTTAAACTCACTGAGATCCATCTGCCTCTGCCTCCCAAGTGCTGGGACTACAGGTGTGCGCCACCACGCCCCGGCAGTTGGCTACTTTTAAAAAATCAGTGCAAAAGGAGAAGGGCTCCAACCACCCCAGGCCATCAGGTTCAGGAATGTATCAGGGCCTTTCCTTAAACAAAAATCTTACAGGGTGTGGTGGGATTAAAAGATCAGAATTCCTTGTCATAAACCAAGTTCCAAATTTTACAGGGTTTGAAAGAAAAGACTATCTGTTTCTTATATCTGTATCAACCTCAGAACTTGAGTGAGGTTGAATTGAAAGGTAATAGACTGGGGCTGGAGAGATGGCTCAGCGATTAAGAACACTTGTTCTTGTAGAAGACCCGGGTTTGAATCCCAGCATCCACATGGCAGCTAACAACTGACTGTAACTTTAGTCCTTCAGTCCTAGGGGATCCTCTGACCTCCGTGGGCATTGCACGACACAGGTGCATTTAACCTACATGCAGGCAATACACACATACACATAAAATTAAAAAATAAATAAAATTTTTTAAAAAGTAGCAATATTTATTCTGGGCTATTGTATATTGGACTTATGCATTTTGTTTTCACAGTTAAGAGATTGCTTTGAGTCTCAGAAGAGGCTTGGAACTGTTAGAACTGTTAGAACTGTTAAAGACTATGGATTATCTAGGTTAAATTAATTAAGATGGGAAGACCCGCCTGAACTGTGGGTAGCACCATCCCATGCTGGGTCCTGGACTCAGTAAAAAAAGAGAAATTGAGCCACACAGCAGTGTTCCTCTTTCTTTGCTTCTTCATCTTTTAAAAAAGATTTTTAAGCTGGGCATGGTGTCACAGGCCTTTAATCCCAGCACTCGGGAGGCAGAGGCAGGCGGATCTCTGTGAGTTCAAGGCCAGCCTGGTCTACATAGTGAGTTCCAGGACAGCTGGGGCTATAGGAAAACCCTGTCTCAAAAACACCAAAAATAAATAAATAATTAAAAATAAAAAAGATTTTTATTTGTATTTGTGTGTGTGTGTGTGTGAGAGAGAGAGAGAGAGATTAACATTTGGTATCTCTTCCCCTATTGCTCCTAATTTTAATTAATTAGTTAGTTAATTAATTAATTAATTAATTAGAGACAGGGTCTTTTCCTGAACCTGAAGTTCACCAATTCAGCTACACTGTTTGGCCAGTGAGCTCTGGAGATTTGCCTGCCCCCCATGCCCCCTACCCCACTGGGTTTAAGTGTGCCACCACACACAGACTTTACGTATGTGCCGTAGTCCACCTACTTGTACAGCAAGCACTTTAGCCAGTGCACCATCTCCCCAGCCCCTCTTTTTTTTTCCCCCTTTGGTCTTTCTGAGACAGGGTCTCTCTGTAGCCCCAGCTGTCCTGGAACTCACTACGTAGACCAGGCTAGCCTTGAACTTACAGCGATCCACCTGCCTCTGTCTCCCCAGTGCTGGGATTAAAGGTGTGCGCCACCACGCCCAGCTATTTATCATTTTTATTTTATGTGTATGAGTGTGTTTCTTGCATGTATGTCTGTGCACCCATTGTCATGCAATGCCTGCAGAGGTCAGAAGGGGGTATCAGATCCCCTGGAACTGGAGTTATGGACGGTTGTTAGCCACTGTAACAGTGCTGGGATTCAAACCCAGGTCCTCTGCAAGAGCAGTCCATCCATGCTCCCAACCACTTAAGCCATCTCTCTAGCCTGCCCCTCCCCCCACCTTTGAGACACAGGGATGTAACTCACATTGACTTTGAATTCACTCTTTGCTGAGGATGACCTTAAACTTTGGATCCTTCTGGATACCAGCTAGGATTGCCAGTATGTGACACCTCACCTGTGTTCAGGTGGTGCTGGGAATTGAACACAGGACTTTGTGCATGCTAGGTTAACCATTCTACCAACCAAGCTACATCCAGGCCCTGTGCCTTATGTTTTAAAAGACTCAACAGGGCTAAGGGGAGAATGGCCTCCTCTGGCACTTTTACCTTTACAGTTTTGCCTTGGCCAGCCCACTGCCTCTGACTCCAGGTCATCTGTCACCTGACTCCACTCTAGCCTGGCCCAAATAGGCGGGGCAGAGAGCAAGGTCCACAGTAATGTGTGTGTGTGTGGGGGTGGGTGGGTGTTGTTCTCCCAATCGTCCCCTCTCTGTCATCATCAGGGTAGCTCCAAATGGTTTCTTAAGCTGTGGGGGAACCTCCCTTTCTCCCTCCCAAGGAGTAAGACTCAAGGTGATGTTGATGATGTAAAGCTGATGAACAGCAGACCCTAGGCAACAGGTAGAAAGCAGACCTGCCTCTCCCCACCACAGCCCCAGGTTTGGCTGGGCGGAGACTGAGCGTGGAGGACAGCAGGTGTGCGGAACAGGACGATTGCACCCGGTACAGAGCTTCCTCCAGCTATTCCTGAAGTTTGACTGCCAGTCCAGGTGAGGGTCCCTAAGGGTTGTCCTGGTCTGGGGACTAGCTTGGGGAAGGGGGGTTTTCCTCTGGGTGGGGGAAACCTACCTTGTCCCCTTTTTCTACCTACCTAGCCTCAGGTGCTATTTTCCCAGAGGTAAGGTCGTTGTGTTCTTGGTTCCTGCTTGTGACCTGTTTAACCCTTTGTCCTGGGCACCAATTAGGGATGCACACCAGGTCCTGGTCAGGACACTTGCCTTCTCTTGCCTTGGTCTTCCTTCCTTCAGATGGGCTCGTGCTTCACCTAGCCTGTGCTCAGAAGCCCCAATATCTGCTTGACACTCGAAACACTGAGAGTGTCTGCATTCTTGAAGGACACATTATGAGACACAAGGTCACAGAATGTCAAAGTGATAGAAGCTCAAGGAGCACTCTTTTAGCAGTCCAGTGGGCAGCAGCATCCAGTGTGAGGCTGGCCCTGGAGCAGGGATGACTAGGTGCTGCCTGGTGACCTCTCTGTACATGGGTAGGCTGCAGTAGGTGGAAACTAAGAACTCCTGCTGGATCTCAGAGTAGGGAATCGTGTAGAAATTCTGGGACCCATGGGAAATGGCATTCCCTGGTCAGCCTTGGTCAGATGCCCAGGACCATCTAGGGTTAGCTAAAAATTCTCAGATTCCCATAAGAGAAATCCAAGGTTAAGTTTTCAAAAGGAAACAGATATTTTTCTTAAGTCTAGAATGGGGAGTTGGAAAGATGGCTTAGTGGTTAAGAGCACTGACTGCTCTTGCAGAGGACCCAGGTTCGATTCCCAGCACCCATATGGTGGCTCCAAACCGTCCTTAACTCCAGTTCCAGGGGAATCCGACGCCCTTAGTCCCAGCACTTTGGTAGGCAGAGGCAGGAGGATCTCTGTGAGTTCAAGGCCAGGCTGATCTACATAGTGAGTTCCAGGACAGCTGGGGCTACAGGGAGACCCTGTCTAAAAAAACAAAAAACAAAACAAAACAAAAGCCCAATAAATAAATAAATTAAATATTTAAAAAAAAAGAAGTCTAGAATGACAGCTAGTCTCATGAGGGGCACATACCTAGCCACTGGACCCCAAATGGCATAGTCCTGACCTTGAGGCTTCCAGAGAGAAGCCTCACCTTGGGAGAACCTGGCATGGAGCCCTGAGTTCATCCCAGAGCTGGGGCTTCTCTTGGGAAGACATGGAAACATGACCCCAGAGGGTGGATGGAGCAGAGATGCTCTGTATATGGGTGGGCAAAGCCTATGTAGGGGGGCCTCAGGGTGTTCTGTTGACTCTTGACAGTGGCACCAGAAAAGACTATTCTGGCCCCCATTGGGCTGTGTCCTCAGACAGAACCTTCTGCACTGGCTCCCAAACTCTGTAACAGTGTTGAGCCTGCCCATTTGGACTCTGGGAACTGCCCAAAGGCAGTTGTTTACAGTGTCTGCCCCACCTCCTAAAGGGAGGCTGTCTGAATCCCAGAGCAGGTAAAGTCTGAGGAAGATCAGAACATGTTAAGACCCTGCCTCTGGATGATTGGGGTAGGGGTAGCAGATGGAGTCTGAGTGTCCACTGCTACCCACTGCACCCCTGCAGCTCAGTCCCTCCTGCCATGGGGCTCACCTGGAAGAAACGGGTTTTCATGGCCCTGTTGGGGGTTGCAACAGCCTCTGGTCTCACTGTGCTCATCCTCATCCTGGTGGAGGCCACCAACGTCCTCCTGCCCGCAGACACCAAGGTTTGGCTCAAGGACCTGATGGGGAGGTTGGGCTGGGTGATCAGGACGCTGGCCCCCACACCCTCCTGATCCCAGTGTTGTCCTCAGTTTGGGATCGTGCTGGATGCTGGCTCCTCCCACACGTCCCTCTTTGTGTACCAGTGGCCAGCAAACAAAGAAAAGGACACGGGCGTGGTCAGCCAGGCGATGACTTGCCAGATAGAAGGTCAGTAGGAAATCCCATGACAGGTCATTGCTGCCTGGCTTGGACTCCTGGGTGATGACAGGAGACCCAGCATGAGCGACCACTTGGTAAAAGCAGTTTCCAGCCTGGGTGTGGTGGCATTTGCCTTTAATCCCACTTGGGAGGCCGAGGCAGGCAAATCTCTGTGAGTTACAGGCCAGCTGGGCCTACAGGGAGATCCTGTTTCAAAAAGTCAAAAAAAAAAAAATTAAAAATCTGTTTCCAGTCCTCAACAAAGCAGATCAATTTAAAAGAAAAGGGTTTAGAAGGGTGAAGTGGCACCAGGGTCACACGGTTGGGCAGTGGGATATGGGCCTGGTTCTAGTGAGAACACATACAGCTTTTAGACACTGCCCTCTCTCCTAGGACCTATGTCTGACTTCCCTGCCTGGTTCTACATCTATCATCCAGCCAGGGCCCTTTTTGGCCTCCCAGAGCTTTCCACCTAGGTACTACATGGAGCTATGGCAGAAGCCACCAACTACAGGGCCCTGAGTTTATTTCCTGGGGTTCCACTCAACTTGGGAGGTCAGAGCCTGAAGTCAAGAGGTGGCAGAGTCACCCACTCCAGAAGCCCCAAGATGGAGAAACTCAAGGCTTCCTATCTCTCCTTGTAAGGACCCTAGTCACTGGACTTGATGGTCCACCATGTAATCAAGATGCCGTCCGTCCTCTACAGATCTCCTTTGTTGTTATTCGAGACAGTATCTCACTGTGTAGCCCAGATTGTCCCCAAACTCTCAGTCTCCCCGCCTCAATCTCTTGAGTACTAAGATTATAGTCAAACACCATCATGCCCCAATCAAAAGAAAAAAAAAAGGCTCTCATTCACAGGCTCCAAGCGTCAGAGTATGATCACATGGGGCTACCATGTAGCCCCACCCTTCAGGTGGGAATCTTTTCCTGGGGTGCTGTGTTTCAGGGCCTGGAATCTCTTCCTACACCTCTGACCCCACACAGGCTGGAGAGAGCCTGAGGGGTTGCTTGGAGGAAGCTCTGGCATTGGTCCCAAAGGCCCAACATCAAGAGACACCCACATTCTTGGGTGCCACAGCAGGAATGAGGCTGCTTAGGTGAGGTAGTCTGAAGGGCAACCCTAAAAGCTGGCCTCAACACCCTGGGGTGAGGTAGGGCAGAGGCTGGTGTGGGCTTTCTTCCATCCCTGTCCCTCTCTGTCCAGCCAGAAGAACAGCTCTCAGGCAAGGGACATCCTAGCCGCAGTCTCCCAGGTTCTAAGTGAGTCTCCTGTGGATTTTTGGGGTGCCAAGATCCTGGATGGACAAGATGAAGGTGCCTTTGGTTGGATCACTATCAACTATGTTCTGGGCATGCTCCTCAAGGTGCATGGACAGCACAAGGGTGGGGGCTGGTCTGAGGGCCCAGTGTCTGGGGTTGGCTCCCAGGGCTAAGTACCCTGTCTGTGGTCAGTATTCCTCTGGAGAATGGATCCTACCGGAAGAGGAGATGCTAGTCGGTGCTTTGGACCTCGGTGGGGCCTCCACTCAGATCAGCTTTGTGCCACGGAGCCCTATCCTGGACCAGAGCACCCAGGCCACCTTCCTCCTCTATGGTGCCAACTACAGCATCTACACTCACAGCTACCTCTGCTTCGGCCGTGACCAGGTGCTTTACAGGCTCCTGGTTCAGTTGGCACAGGTGAGCTGGTCTTTGAAGGGTGAGGAGGTGGGATAGCATGGATATAGAACGGAGGGGGGAGGTCTCAGAATTTAGAGTTCATGTTCTTTTCTCTCCTTCAGAGCAGCCCTGTGCCCCGGGTCCGACACCCATGCTACCACAGAGGCTACTATGCCACACTGCCGCTGGCCCCTCTCTCTGAGTCGCCCTGTGTCCACACCATGAACTCCCTAAACCTCACCCAGAACATCACAGTTGAGGGGATGGGCAACCCTGGGGACTGTATGGCAGCTCTCCGGGGTCTCTTCAACTTCTCCAGCTGTCAGGGCCGAGAAGACTGTGCCTTCAATGGAGTCTACCAGCCCCCCGTGCATGGCCAGTTCTATGTGAGCACCTATCCCTACTCCAAGCCCTGGCTTCCTCCTGGGGCCCCGATCCTCCTCTGACCCCAGGGGCTCCAAGGACAAGTAGAACAGAAGGATCCCTGGCTGGCTCTTAGGTCCTCGGGCACCTGTGGGAAGACCTGACTAATGTGTCCTGGGCCTCCGGCAGGCAGGCACAGCCTTCTCCACTTCCCCCAGGCCTTCTCCAACTTCTACTACACCTTCCACTTCCTGAACCTCACCTCCAGGCAGCCACTGAGCATCGTCAATGCCACTATCTGGAAGTTCTGCCTGAAATCCTGGAACGTGGTGGGTGGTACTGGATGCCTGCCCTAGCTACCCCCTGTGCTGCAGTTATAGGCAGGCAGTCTGAGGTCTTACGGGGCTTCACTGACCAGAAATTTGTGGTAAAGCCCTGTTTAGGCAGCAGAGTTGGGGAAGGAAGCTGTAGGAGGGAGAGGCCAGCCCTGGGTGGGAGGGAGGTCCAGAGTCCTGAGCCCTGATGGGACCAGCCTCTGGTTGTCATGAGATTGGCCATTCCAGTCCCTCCTAGCTAGAGCGTAGTCTCCAAGGGTCTGAGGAAAAGGCTTTGAGACACTTGACACTGTCCTGCTACTGGAGACTTGGGGCTTGGATGTGTTTGGTGGGGGTAGGTGCTCAGGGGTCCTCGAGGCTCCCACCCATTCCTCAGCTTCTGGAACCCAAGGTAGAGGCCAGCTATCCAGGGCAGGAACGCTGGCTGCGGGACTACTGTGCCTCAGGCCTGTACATCCTCATGCTGCTGCTAGAGGGCTACAAGTTCAGCGAGGAGACCTGGCCCAGCATCCAGTTTCAGAAGCAGGTGACTGCTGCCTGGTGTCTTGGCATGTCCAGTCCAGGATGAGTGGGATAGGGGTCTGGGGCAGCTGCCCACCAGTCCTGAGGCAGCCACATACATCTCACAGGCTGCCGGCACGGACATTGGCTGGACCCTGGGCTACATGCTGAACCTCACAGGCATGATTCCTGCAGAGGCACCGGCTGAGTGGCGAGCTCAGAGCTACGGCATCTGGACAGCTGGAGTAGTGTTTGTGGTGCTGACCCTTGTGGCCATTCTTGGGGCAGCTGCAGTCCAGCTCTTCTGGCCCCAAGACTAGGCGGAGGCCAAGCTGAACTGGATCGCAGACAGGGATGTGTCTGAAGCAAGAACAATTGGGATTCATCGGCAGCAACATAAATACTTTTACCTTGTGAGCCAGCATCAATCGTCTTTAGGAAAGAAAATTCCTGGCACATAGGACCTGCTAGGTACATCTGGTTGCCTGTCCTTATGAGCCCCTGACCCTTAGGGGCTCCAGCCTAACAAGCAGACCAGGAGGGCCACCTCCTGACAATCCTGGTCCCCCTCTGCCCTCAGGATAGCATTGGCTATTGGGACTATAGTATTTCAAGGGGCAGGAACAGGAGGGAAACCTGGCTCTGGGAAGAGGCAGCCATGAGGATAGGGCTGCCCCGGAAGAGAGCTGTGGACAGACCAGCAGAGACCCCTGACTTCCCTCACTGTAATCAAACTGGAGCAGATGGTCAGGATGTAGGTCTGCAGGTCATCCTGGCTCTCTCACCCTCTCAGAAACTTTGATTGGGTTCCCTTTGTCACCAATCCCAGAATATGGACCACACAAGCGGTGAGGGGGATAGTTTTTATTAAAAGCAGCCTTGCCACAGTATTGCTTAGTGCTGTTCTTCTGGCTGGGGTCCCTGGGCAGGTAGGGCTTCTTCACAGGCACCAAGTGGGACCACAAAGCACTTGGGGAAAATGCCAATGCAGCCGTTGCAGTGTCCCTCCAGCCACGCTTCATCCACTATGGGGACGTGTTGGGTGATATGTTTGCTCATAGCTAAGGCTAAGCACCAGAGCACACCTCTCCCCTGAGGCCTGGGAAGCCCAGCAGTGTTGGGGAAGGGCAACCTTATCTTACCTTCACACAGAACATCCACCATGTCACCTCGGTGGAAATTCAAGTCCTCAGGCCTGTGAGCTGAGTAGTCGTGCTGAGCTACAACCTGGTAGAGAACTGGTCGGCCCCCGGCCCCCTGTGGCAGGAGGGTGGGCTACATGGGCAGCACAGCAGAGGGGACTCCCCTATACTTGTCCTGACTGCCATCAGTGGGCATACAGTCCTTCCCATGACTCACCCGGCACTGGAGCTGTAACCCTCTTGGGCCCAGGGCCACATCCTTCCACATGCTCTGCAGTGATTCCTCCGTGGGGACAGGGATCCAGAGCCTCTCCTCTTCTGAGGCTTGGTAACTGCGAAGAGTCCTGTGAGTGGGCCACAATGGTGGGGGGGCAAGCACCTGGTGCTTGGACTTCTCCTAGAGGAAGCTAACCTCTGTGGCCCTTCAGCGTGACCAGCCCTGGCTTCCAGCAACTGCCTAGGATCCTAGGCCTAGTGCTAGGGAAGCCTTAGCTTTGATCTTTCTGGGCCCAAGAAGTGCCCAGTTCATGGTTAAAAAAACAAAACCAAAACCAAAGCACTTCCCCTCCAGCTCAGAATAATTCCTCCTTCCCTATAGCTCAGAGCCAAACTCTCTCCTTAGCAACCCCTACTCCTGCCCCCAGGGAAGCTTTCTGACCTACCTGAGCTGCCCCATCTGCGCCTGATGAAGGAGGGCTTGAGCCAGCAGTGCCCTGAGACTGGACAGGCCAGCTCCTCTTGGGGCCTTCAGGGCTACAGTAAAGTGGCACTGCACAGTGACTGCCACTGAGGACTCAGGGCCCTTTGCCACTGCTCCCTGAGGACAGAACCAGGGTTGCATGGCTTATGAAGGCAGGATGGGCCTTGAGCCCAAGGGGTGAGGACAGAGGCTAAGGAAGGCTGGGTTGAGGGCTGGAAGGTAGACTGAAGGCCTTGCTTCAAGTAACTGATGGGGAAAGGATGGCTCTTACCCTAGCTCCAGAGGAATCCTCAGGGGAGCCTGGCCCAGGCCTCTCAGATGCCAGCAACCCTGTAGCACAGGGCAGAGCTCATGTGGTCATCTTTCCACAAAGGAGACACTTGGGAATAGAGAATGGCTGGCAAGTAGTTTTTCCTTGCCCTAAACTTTCCTTAAAGGACACAGTATCCATGTTCCAGCTCCCCTGAGGAGGCTCCTTCCACAGAGACCCATACCCCTAGTGCTCAGGATCCCTGTACCTGTGGATGGAGGAGGCGGAGAGCCAACTTGCTCCACCTGGGGTCTCTGCAAGGGAAGCCAGAGTTAGTAGGACCTTGGGAATGGGGATCCTGGAGTGTAGGGGTCTTGGAATGGGGGATCTGAACTCAAGGGAGAAACTCCCTGCCTGGAGCTTGTCAGGAGCCTTGGGCTCTTTTGTGATATAGCCAACAGTGGTGAAGATGTGTCTTGGGAGCTGGGCCTGTAACTAGCAGGAAGCCATCAGCCAATCCTGTGTTTGGGAGGAAATTCATGGTAGGCCCTGATCCCAGGGTAACCTGGGAACAGGATTGGATCCCCACAGGCCTGGAGTCTACAGACTGCCTAGCATCAGTGGGGAGCCAACCCACTTCTCAGGCCTTCTATGAGGTCCCACTCTAGTTGGGTAGGTTCCCCAATGGCCCTGGGAAGCTCAGGATGAAGTCTAGCCCAGATAAGGGTACCCTGAGTTGGAAGAGAGGTGGAGACCGATGCCCTCAGTTGGGCATTCATGAGTGTGGCTTGTGAGCTGATTTTAAGGTAGGTGACTAGGGAAATGAAGTGTTTGGCCCTTGTGAGGCTTACAACCCAATACAGGGGCCAGTAGATGCAGGTTTAAGCACCTGGGAATTTTTGAGCACATTATAAAATGGAAAATTACTTCTGAGGACACTGAACTGTTGGATTGGAATGAACCGAATATTGTTGAAAATAAAGTGGATGCAACTATTTTCACTGTGCCCATATTAAATCTCGTAAGGTGCCACTACTGGGCTCTTAGGGCTGTTGCAGAGCAACCAGGGTTCCTGACTGACCCCTTCTCATCCAGGCACCAGGGGCTTGGAAGGCTTTCAAAGTCCCTGAAGGCAGGCTAGAGTTGTCTGGGCCTCTTGACCTGCCTGTCCCCAGGCTGTCATGTGATCTGAACACTGTCTGACTGCCCACCAGAGGCCTCAACCTTTGCTCAACCAGCCCCTGTAGTGGGTACCAGAGAGGTGCTCTGTTTTCTCTTTCCCTGGTATCCAGTTACTGTGGCCTGGCTATCAGGGGGCTACCTGCCCTCCCAAAAGCCTAGGCTCACTCTCTGGCTCATGGCCGGAGAATGGCTCAGGGCCTGGTCAGAGCTGACCCTCTCAGCAAGAGTGGAGATGTGGTAGGTGCCAACTCTTCAGAAGTCTAAATCTCAGGCCCTGGAAGGAGGGTTGCCCTCTTTCTCAGGACTTTCTTGGCATGGGGTTCAAGCCCTGGCCCAGCCTGTTCAAGCCTTTCTGTTGCCTGGGTCTAGAGGGTTCCTTGAAATGAGGTACGCACATAGAAGCTGGGGCAGCAAGGAGAGTGGGGCCCTGGCCCAGGGTTCCATGACTCGTTCTGTCTCCAATACAATGACTTAAGCACCCCCCAATCTCAGCAGCCCCATTTTTCAAACTGTGTAAGAACCCAACCCCAGCATTTTACACCACTGAGGCGGTGTCCCCTCCTGGGCAGCTCAGCTCACACCCTTATGCCCTCACTATGGAGCTGCCTGGAGAAACAGTGACCATGAGAGATAATTTTATGGTAGGCAGAGAAGGAACATGGGGAAGGGGCTAGGGAAGTCAGGTGCCCCTTCTCTGGTACTAGGAGTTCATGTCCCCTAGCTGGCAATGGACATACTCAGTCTACAAAAAACAGAAATCCAGGCCTTACATATAGGGCTTCTGCCCCACACAAGTGAAGGACCATAGAGAACCCTTTCCTACCCTTTCTTACTGTAATGCAGCCCTGAGACCGTCTTCATCATTGCCTCCCTGTCCCTATGGGCACAAAGTGACAACCTCACCCTGGCTGAGTGGGGACTGATCAGCAGGTCCTCCTCCTATCATTAAGATGGACAGGGCAAGATGTGCTTACAGACCATCAAACTGGCCTGACACAACCACCACTCTCCTATCTCTTATCAGAAGTTGGGAACAATGGAGGTAGAATGCCAGGGACCAAAGAGGTCTCAGAATTACAGTGATGCACAGTTCTGCAAACCCAGGCTAGGATGGAACTGTGTTTGCTAGCTGCCGGCCCTCCTACCTGTTGAAGCCAGACGTCTGAGTGTTGGTTATCAGGGATAGAAGGGGCAACCACCTAGTGGGGATAGGCATACAGTTGTGTTAGGGCCCCGTGGGGTCTGCTTCTCCAGTCACCCTGCCCCCTTCACTCTGTGGCTCCAATATGCAAGGTGTGGGCTGCGACACCCACTCCAAACTGCAGGACCTCCTTTGCAGAAAAACTTGTGACAAAGAGAAATATCTGTGCTGATAATGTCAACTTATTTTTAGTACACTTTTAAAATGTTTTTGTTTCTTGTAACAGTCTTCCACTATGATAAGTGGACCCTATGGATGCATGAGTACAGTCCCGTCTCCACCCACACCTAGCCTGCTTCAGGGGACATTCGTAGGCAGTGCACATCTCAGGCAGCTGCACATAGTCACATAGTGTTAGTCTCTCCAGCACAAGTGCTGTTGCAAGTGATCACAGGTGTGTGGTCAGCCCTAGGGCCACCAGTACAATAACAAGGTGGCCCTCCTTTGTGATACCACAAGTGGCTATTTTCCCAAGTTCCTCTCCTACATTTAGAGGTGGGATACTCTCCCATATCCTGTGACTTAGGGGACCTGATATGCCCTAGGCTGGCTACACACATCCCTTCTGGGACCTTGTTGCTAGCAGTGATGCAGAGACACTAGGAATAGCCAGGAGGAATGGCGGATCAAGGAGGGGCATCACTAGGGATCCCCATCAAAAGGCCTGAGCACCTGCTTTTACAACTGACTTTCAGTAAGTTCTGCCGCTAGGTCTATAGCCTCATGTAAGGACACTCAACCCACAACCCCCACCTTCTACTGGTCTAGTTTTCAAATGACTTTGACCAAGTCCACCTGCCTCATGAACACACTGGGTGCAGGAGCCATACCATGAGTTTGATATAGGCTCCAAATGCCCCTTGGCAGCTGGGTACCCAAGCTGGGAAATGCCCTCTTGCTTTACCTTAGCCTTGCCGAGGAAATCCATTGGTTCCAGGTGCTTCAGGTGCTGCCTGGGAGGCCAGAAGACCTCACCCTTGGGGACTTGCCACAGCTTCAAGGGGACCTGTGTCTGGGAGGGAACATGTGAACCTGGGTGACCACAGCTGCAAGAGTCCTGAGCCTTGGAGCAGAAGGGGCCACTTGAGCTTCCATCATTTCTCACAGGCCACAGGAAGCATGCAGCACCCAGGCCACCTCTCTCATACAGTTATTCTTGAGAGGGTAAGCTACATACCTTGACCCCAAACCAGACTGACCCTCACTTGCCCTCCACACCTTACTCCTCACCTGCACTTGGTTCAAAGCAATGTCCAAGCTATCCTGGGCCCCCTCTGGCCACTTGGAGATGGCCTCCTCTAGTGTATTGGCAGCCTGGGTCCAGAGCCCTACCTGGCACTGTGCTGATGCCATGTTGTACAGCACCTGTAACAAGGGCAGAGGTGACCATAAGGGCAAGGTCCCTATCTGGTCTTCATCTGAGCTCTCCAGCCATAGTGGCCGACATGGGAGAGGTTGGTGGGGATGAGGCCACTGGTTGCCTGGCTGGGTCAGTTGTGTGAACCCAAGTGGTCATGCTGTATGTCCAGCTCAATCCTGATAGGGCCATGCTTTGCTTTGGGCTTTTCTGCTTGGGACAACAGAAGTAGCTCTCCATTTCAAAGTGTCACCCCCTCTTCTGCACCACACCACCCCTATTCACTGCTCCTTCTCAGTCTAGTGTCTGAGTGTTTCCACTGGTGGTCTGGGGGCACTCAGAAATCCACAATGCAGTGGGGTAGATCCTTCTCATGGGCAGATTTGGACTGACTTAAGGCTGTCCCATAGTCTTAGTGACATGTGAAATCATATGATGCTCTGGGAGCCCATCCTCCTATCACCCTGGAGAGGCAAGCACATAACCAACACAGCTTTGCTACAAGGAGAGAAACTCACCCACTCTTCCTGTGACCCTCTTTTCCCACCATTCCCTCTGCCCCATCTGCAGATAATGCTGAACCAACTCTCCAATCCAATTGGTCTGTCACCTTGCCACAATCTTCAATTCTGCCCTACTTTTCTCCCACCAAGAGCCCATGCTAGCTTACTCCAAAGAAGTGTGACCAGTCTCCCTTCACTGTTCCAGCCACCTTGGGCAATCAAGAGCCAGGAAATTGCAGGTCTCCAGGAGCTTTTGGCCAGACAGGATATCTCAGTTCATATGGCTGATCATGACCTAACACCACACATAGGGGGCATGCCACAGCCCCTGAGAGCACTTAGACTGCACTCTAAGTGCAGGACCATAGTCAGCACCCCAGACTGTATCTTAGGACCTCCACGGCAACCCAGAGCCACACACAGCACCTTAGAATTCCCATGCACCCTGCGACCTCTGACAGAACCCCAGGGCCACAGAGATCCCCAAGCCTCAGTGCAGTGATACCCCTTGACAGGTGGACCCTACACAAGTCCCCATACCCACTTACGTCCCAGGCTTTCAGTCTGAAGTGCAGGCCCAGTTGTGTGTAGTCAATGGCAGCATTGCCCCTCAGTTGTATCAGGGCCAGCTGGAAGTCAGACACAGCCTCCTGAAACCTGTGGGTAGCAGGGGTCTCTCAACAGCCACAAGGGAGAAGCTGAGTCTGTGAAGGGTGGCTTTTGGGTGCCCCCCCATCCTTCTTTCCCTTCAAGCTCTTGAGGAGGCCTGAGGGCAGTAGTGGTCACCCAGATCTTAGCACTTGGTGGACACTCAAGTCCTGACCAATGTGCTTAGTGGAAGTTTACTGTCCACTTTTGCTCAGCCTCCTGGGAACTTGCTCCTTCTTCCTGACAGGGGCCCTTACTTGTACCCAGACCCACTCCTTTCCTGGATCTCCTGCCCTAACTTCATGGGGGCTTCCTTTTCTAATCTCTGAACTTCAAATTTTGGCTAGAATCTCTCTTTTCCCTGACTAGACACCCCACCTCCTGCAGGCAGCCTCCTGGGCTGATTGGCACCTGTAGTCCTGATTGTCCTCCTTCTCTGGCTTCCCTTAGAAAGCTGTGTGGCCATCCACATCCTGGGACAAGCCCTCATTTTCACATCTGCAAACTGGCTATAAACACAGTTCTTATTACTAGACATGAGGAGAGATGCTGAGAGGGAAGGAAGTGGGTGCAAACATGGGTTTTCAGAGACAAAGAGCCACCCAGTAAGGACAGGGGACCCTGCCGTCCTCACCTCTCCAGGTGGAAGTTGGCCACTCCCCGCTGAAGGAAGCCAACAGCCATACAGGTGTCCTTGGTCACTGCTTGGTCAAATGCCTAAAGACAAAAATGCCATGGAACACCAAACTCTACAGCCAAACACCTCAATGCCACAGATGCATATGGAAATCCATCATTCAGTGAGAGCTGTCTGCAGGAGGTACCTGTACAGCTGGACAGGGTGTCATAGCACATGCTCTTCGGCTGCCTTAAGCATCTCAGGATAGACTCGGGGCATATCTCTGTGATGTAGAAACCCAATCTGTCTACCATAAGCACAGGGAGATGCTGAAGGAAAACCTCCAAGGTGTCAGTAACAGTTATCTCTGGGGGATGGGACTGTGCAAAACTTTTGTCTTTTTAAACTTTTGGTAGTTCACACAAAATGGCATACTAGATATCGATCAGAATCAGAACACGGAAGTCTTAGTAGAGCTGCATGGAAAGCACAGCCCTTCCTTAAACCAAACTCAGATATGTTCCCCAGCAGGGACAGCAGCCATCAATTAAACACTGGCAATAAGAGAGGTGGTGTGGTTTCATGATAGCAAATCTGGCCAGGTGGAGGGCTGGTTGGCTGCTGAACTGGGTCTGAAGTTTGCAAGTGCCACAATCAGCCTGCAGATGGAGTGGCTGCTCATTTGCTGTCCCATCACACTCAGCAGCTACATCGACATCGTGAGTGTCGCACCAACAGGCCAAGGTGTACCCGCCCAGACCCTCACCTGACCTGTACCCCAAACCATTAGTTTTCCTTATTGGATTTGCTCCAGTTGCATCTTAGAGGTTCCAGGTCTGATATGCCTACGCTGTTCACATACTAATTTCATTGACTTTAGGCAGTGCCCATTCTTCCTCTTATAGCAGAGCATTTCACAAACCCTTGCCCCATCTCTAGTTATAGTGTGCGAGGAGGTGAGGACTGGGTTGGCCTAACACATGACTCACTTTTCAGCCACCTGGGAACAGATCATTAAAATTTCCTTTCCCCCATAATAACATTTTAATAAGGAAGTTGTTCCTAACATAATTGTAGGCATGATACGGAGGTAAGAAATGTTAGAAGAGGGCTGGCAAGATGGCTCAGCTGGTAAAGGTGCTTCCCAGCAAGCCTTACAACCTGAATTCCATCCCTGGGTCCTACATGGTAGAAGGAAAGACCTGACTCCCACAAGTTGTTGCCCCCTGACCTACACACACACACACACACACACACACACTCAATCAATCCATAAAATATAATAAAAAGGTTTTTTTTTTTTAAAAAAAAAAGAAAGAATAGGGACTGGAGAGATGGCTCAGCAGTTAAGAGCACTGACTGCTCTTGCAGAGGATCTGGGTTCGATTCCCAGCACCCACCCGGCGGCTACGAACCGTCCTTAACTCCAGTTCTAGGGGAATCCAAAGCCCTCTTCTGACCTCCACGACACTGCACGACACGGGTGCACTCACGTACAATATACTCGTACACATAAAAGAAAAAAAAATAATAAAAAAGAAAGAAAGCCGGACGTGGTGGTGCACACCTTTAATCCCAACACTCGGGAGGCAGAAGCAGGCAGATCTCTGTGAGTTTGGGGCCAGCCTGGTCTACATAGTGAGTTCCAGGACAGCTGGGGCTACAGGGAGACCCTGTCTCCAAAAGACCAAAAAAAAAAAAAAAAGAATAAAGAGAATGTAAGGGACCCTCTCCACCCACCTTGATCTTCCCAATGGTAAAGTTCTGTAGTGGGAACTCTCTCCCATGGTGCTTAGGTGTCCTTGCTGCTCTTCTGTGTGGTGTCCAGGTAACTTTCACTGCCCATGAGAATGAGTGAGAAGGTCTGAGTGGTAGGTAAGGTGCTGTGGACTTAGGTCACACAGCCATGTTCATTTTGATGAACGTGAAGCACTTAGAAAGGCAGGGAGTGCCCTGGCTTCTTACCCACAGTGCACCCCTGATCTCTTGGTTCTGCTTTGAGAGACAGATGGGGAGACTGGTGAATGCTCAGAACTGGGAAGACAGACCCTGTGCCATTTCCATCACCACAAGCATCTGCTGAAGTCCCTTTTCTCCACACTTACACCTCAGAAACAGAGCCTGGTGACTGAGCCCCGACCCCTGATTCTGACTCTGATTCAGCCTCCAGCCTGCCTTCCATACAGTATGTCCCTTCCTCAGTGTTGAGCATCTGAGCCAGGGCTGCCCCTGACCTGGTACAGGACTGCTGCATTTGGCCCAGGTGGTGTCTATGGATACTGAGGATGCCCTGTGCCCCTTTCTGGCCTCAGCTCAAGGGGTAGGAGGGGTCTCTCAACTACACAGCTTTTACCTGCCTTACGCAGTCCTTAAGAGGGAACACCGGAAGGAAAATCTCTAGGTAAATGACGGAGGTGAAGGGCAGGGAACCTCCTCCTCCAGTGGCCACGAGGTGGTCAAGGGGGTAATTTTCAAGGGTGTCCATTAAAAGGCACAATTCGTGCCTGGAGTCACATCTTCATTCGCACCCCTATGGGCCTCCCACAGGGATAGGGGTCTCTGTAACCAGTCCCGGGGCGTTTACCCGCAGTGCGGCCTCAGGATCCCCGGCCATCAGGTGCACGCAGCCCACGTTGAAGCATATCTTGGCCGGCGGCTGTCGGACGCCGGAGAAGAATCGCAGCGCGCAGTCCCAGTCCCCGCGCGCCACCGCCTGTACGCCGCGGTGCCAGTCACGCACCTGATCCCTTAGGGAGCTCATGGCACCGAGAATACTTGCTTTGCGGCGATGGACGTTAGCTCCTCCAATCCGAGAGCGCTGGGAAGGAGAGGGGATCCAACAGTGATTAGTGGACCGTGGTCAGGCGCAAAGCAGAACCGACCCGGCTGGTGGGGCGCGAAGCCACGGGAGCTCCCTCACTCAAACTGAGCCTGCGGTCCCGCCCCCGACACGAGCTCCTGCCCCACATCCATAAGACCCGCCCACCCACGTGGACACCCCCTTCCCAACTCACCCTCGCCACCAGCCTCCTTTCCGATGTGATCACGCCCCTTGCTCTAGCCACCGTCCCCCGGTCCGAGGCCCCGCCCCCTCCCCGCCCCACCACCTTCGGGCCTATCTGCCCATTCCTCGTCCCCAAGACCACGCCCATGCCCACGCGGACACACCCTTCACCCCCCAATCCCTGCCATCCCGCTTCTCGCCGGTTGTGACCACGCCCCTTCTTTCAGTCAGGCCCCGCCCCATCTTTCGTGTGTGCAGCGTTTCCTCCCTACCGGGTGTTCTGGGTTAACCGGTCCGGTCGCGCTGCAGCGGTTGAGCGTAGGTTCCGGGCACTGAGAGTGGACGGTGTGTAGCAGAGCTACCTGCTCAGAGGTGAGCGACCTCGGGCCTGGTGGGTTGCCAGGGAGACCCGACAGAAGCGGCCCAAAGATTGGCTGGGCCCCACCGCCGGCTCCGCCCCGGTGCGTGTCCTCCGGAAGGGGTCGCCACGGGCTGATGGGTTGGGCCAGGCTACTGCGGGAGGCATGCACTGGGCGGGGCCCCTGGCCGTGTGACCACGCCTAGCGCCCCCCGCGGAGGCCCCGGTAGTGCTGGCTTGGCTGCCCGCCATGCACTTTCTTTTCACGCGAGTGACTCTCGGGGCTGGGCCTCTTTCCACCTGCCCTTGCAGGTTACAACTGTCCAGAAACCACCAGTTGAACAGCTCCCTGTAGTGTCCGTTTACAGACTGGTGGGGTGGCCGATATGGACTTTGTAGAGCACCTAGAGGACTTCTTTAAACATTGGTTGAGGTCCTCCCTCGGTATGGAGGGTTGTCAGCCTTATCCAAAGCTGCTGATCCAAACGTTAGTTCCACCTGAAAACGTGCCTCTGACACGTGACTGACCATGTGTTGGGGCACCATGGCCTGGCCTCTTTGACTCACGAGTTGAAGCACCACGGCATCCAGCCAAAGCAACCCGGCTCAGCTGCAGCTCAGGCCCGTCCAACCTCCCTGTCTGGTTGTTGGTTCCCTATTCTCAGAGTTACAACTGATTTTCTTCCCGTGTGACCCAAAATACCCAAACCCTAGCCTCTGAGAAGAGTGGGCACTCCCCTTTGTGGGTTCCTTCCCACTCCGTTACCTAGTGTCCCTCCCTGGAAGCCTCAGCCTGCCCCCCATGCTGCCTTCCAGCCCCACCTGCTCTTTTTTTTTTTTTTTTTAAAAAAAAAAACCACAGACCAAAATTATTCTTAGAGTGTCCCACTTATTTATTTTGAGTGACTGCCCCAAGTTCCACAAGGGTCCCCACTTGTTCCCTGATGAGCCCCACGTCCCAGGTATAGAATGACTTTACCCTGAGCATGTATGTTGTCTTCTCAGCACAGCTTACATGGATCATTATAATGACCAGGTGGCAGCTTGTGTTCAGGTGGATAAGGAGGGACCCTGTGGAATAGCTGTAGGCATGGTGTTGGTCCAAGGGTATGCTAGTGGAGCAGACTTGTGACTTCTGGCTCTGCACAGTTCCATGATCTTTGTATGACTGCTGTCCAAGTGGCAGGGCATCCTCTGGGACTGATTCATTTCCATTTGTTAATCTTGAGGAGGGAGTATGGGTTGAAAAAGTCAGGCGGGACATTGGTCCCTCTCTCCATGTTTTCTGAAGGGCACAAGGGAGCTGCTATGTTGACTTCAAAAACCAAACCTGGCAGCCGGGTGTGGTGACACATGCCTGTAGTCCCAGCACTTGGGAGGCAAGCCTCAGTTTCCCTTTCATAAAAAGAGGCTGGAGGAGGTAAACAGGGTATGAGACCATTTAGCCAGGGCCCTAAGTGAGAAGGTCATGAGGTAGGAAGTATGTAGTATGTCTCTAGTTTACCTGTCACCCTCCCAGCATCACCTATGAAAGATCAGACACATGTGCTGTCACTTCCAACAGTCTCCTCTAGAGGAACGGGACTCCCTTACAGCACATTTAGGGACAGCTCCAGTTATCCTTGGTTTGAAAGTCCTGCCCTGGGACAGCCCTCTGTTGAGAAACAAATAAATCTAGTACCAGCTTGGCATTGTCCATCCTTGCGGGGTCACGAGCCTTCTCTGCTTTTTGCTGCCATGCCCCATACATCACATGGGTATGTCCATTGCACAAGGCCTCCTGAGGCTGCACTAGGAGGATAAGGAAACAGACTTAGAGGTATTGTTATTGCAGGTACGGAGGGTGAACAGAATGGAAGACATTGGGTCCCTTTGTTGAAAGTACCTGTTAGAGCCTGGGGTGGCCTGGAACATCCTACAGTAAGCAGGTAAGTGTCTTGTGGCTTTTTAGCTGGTGTGACATTCTTGGGGCTGCCCTGTGCTGGCTATTTGAGGGCAGGGAGCAGGTGAGCAACCTCAGGGTTTTGGTCCTTGTGTAAGACACAGTACAGTCAAGGTGATAGGTCCTACATACTAACTTGTCAGCTTGTACCTGGTCAGTGACACCAGTATGACCTGGCTAGTTCCCTGTCTTCACCCCTCCAAGGACAGATCACCTGGTGAGCACACTGCCAGAATATGTAGCTGGTCTTGGAATCCACACCCTCATCTTCCTGCCATGTGACCTCTAGCTTTTGTTTCCCTATATAAGAGAAGAAATGTTTTCACCTTCTTGAGGGTCCCAGGGCCTTGAGGCACAGGTTTCTCAGTGGGGCTAGGGATCAGTTTAGTTTCTGAGGAAGGTAGCAGTAATCTGGTAATGTTAATGCATTCCCTTTCCTGCTCCTCATATCTGTGCAGCCTAGCCTTGCCCACATTTGCTGAGGGCAGGCAATCTTGGCATGTGTCAGCTCTGTATATACAGGGACTTGTCCTCCTAAGCTAAGTGGTCTGAGAAGGCTGGGGCCCTTCTATCTTTCTAGGATTAATCCACCCAGCCTCCCCTTTCCTGACATTTCCAGAGTCAAGGAGCATGTGGGAATGAACTGTGGAGAGATTTTATAGCAGTCTGTAGTCTCTGCTAAAGTGGATTTGAGCAAAGGCACCTTTAGTGTCTCCTTTGTGGGTCAAAGAGACAACTCTGTCTCAGGTAGTACTGGTGTCACAATTTTTTTCCCATCTATTCCCCAATGGACCAAAGACCCACTGGAGGGCTAGGCCTGGTGTAACCCTGTAACAACTAGCAGGAAGCAAAGCCCTTCATTGAGGATGAGGCCTCAGCTCCTGCTACTTGGGCTTGGGAATCCCACAGAGTAGATGAAGTGGAAGGATACCATAAAGTGTGAGTGACACTGTGGCAAACTGCACCCTGTGCAAAGCAAATGGGAGCCTGAAGAGGTACCACCATCGCTGTGAAGAACAATCTAGGGATTCCTCAGATAAATGGAAACGTGTCCCCATGAAAACTGGTAAACAAGCTAGTATTCCTAGCACTGAGGAGGCTGATGAAGGAGGATAGTGAGTTTCAAACCAGCCTCAGATACTCAGATACCTAACAAGACCCTGTCTCAAAGAAATAAATAAAACCAAAAACTTATACATAAGTGTTCATAATAGCATTATTTTTAATAGCCTCCCCCCCAAAAGGAAACAACCCAGGTGTCTACCATAAAAGGGAAATTCTGACACCAGCCATGGAACTTCGAAGATATATACTCAGAGAAAGAAGCCAGTGTGTGGCAAATATCCAGAACAAATAAATTCATAGAGGCTGAAAGCAGCCAGGGGAGGAACTGCTCGCTGATGGGCATGGGGTCATAGGTCATGAAACGTTCTCTACCTGGTTGGCATATTGAGCTTGTACTTTCAGAAAGTAAGCCTATGTGAATTATGTTGATAAACTATAAGAAATTTCTGAGATGTATGCAAAAACAGTGGGAGAGTTTGTACACGAGTATTGCTGTTCACAGAGCTATACTGGCTGCTCTGGGGTCTAAGAGTTGGTGGGCACTCTTCCTTGGAGGTTTGAGGTGTTAGTTCTGTCCCACTGGAATCTGTAGGTAGCGAACTGAATTGATCAGTTTCTTCTCTGTTACTGAGAAGAGTGGCAGCTACACAGGGCTTAGCCACAAGGCATTGGGTATTTTAGTGGGACACCCGGCCCTGGCAGCCATGTGCCTCAAACAAGTCGTATGTCCAAGACGAGTACTTAAGCAATGTGTGTGATTTTAGGGTTTTTAATAGTATATATATTTTTTGTCTTTTTGAGACAGGGTCTCCCTGTAGCCCCAGCTGTCCTGGAACTCACTATGTAGAACAGGCTGGCCTAGATCTCACAGAGATCCGCCTGCCTCTGCCTCCCGAGTGCTGGGATTAAAGGCATGTGCCACCATGCCCGGCTTTAATAGTATATTTTAAAAAAGAAAAATGAATAAAGTTATTTTTTGTTTTAATATTTTGTTATATTTTATTATATTTATTTTATGTGTATGAGTGCATTGCCTGCATGTAGGTAAGTGCACCTGTGTCGTGCACTGCCCATGGAGGTCAGAAGAAGGGCATCAGGCCCCCTGGAACTGGAGTTAGAGATGGTTGTTAGCTGCTATTTGGGTGCTGGGAATTAAACCTGGGTCCTCTGCAAGAGCAGTCAATGCTCTTAACCACTGAGCCATCTTTCCAGCCCCCCTAATTTTATTTTTAATAATGTATATATGTGTGTCTTTGTGTAGCTATCTGCATGTGAGTGCAGGCGCTTACAGAGGCCACAAGAGAGTGTCAGATTCCCTAGAGCTAGAGTTACAGGCAGTCATGAGCCACCTATTAGGAATTGTACTGGGAACCAAACACAGGTCCTCTGGAAGAGCAGTATGTACTCTTAACTACTGAACTGTCTCTGCAGCCCCCAAATGAACTTTAATGGTCTATTTTATTTAACTTCAGCATACCCAAAGTATTCTCACATACAAGTAATATAAAAAGTCAGTGCTGAGCTCTTTTATCCTGTCCTTGTCCTGATGCAGAAAGACAGCAGAGTGCTTGGCATTGGGGGCAGGGAGTTTGTGACTCAGACTTGAGGCCTCTCCTGTGGAGACAGGGCTTTCTGGGGACTTTGAGACCAGCATTGCCCAACCGTCTGTCTTGCTCTCCACACCAGTGTCTGGTGTGCAGTATCTTTGAGAGAAGGCTTGTAAAGTAGGGAGACAGAGCTCAGGGACTGTCCACTGTGTTGTGACCCCTGCCATGGTCCCACCCTGTTGTTACCCCCACCTAGCACAGGAGAACGTGAAGGGGCTCCTAGGCCACATATGTGCCTCCTCCAGGAGGAACTCACCTTGTCCTGCCAATGATGCCTCCCAACCCGATGCCTTTTCTGGAGGCAGGTGGTCCCAGGTGGCCTTGGGAATGGGGCAGAGAAGGAACCGGGATACTGGGCAGGACCCTGCTCTCAGTGGACCCAGTGAGGCCAGGCTCTGCTACAGTTAGGACAAACAGGCAAGCTGAGCCTCAGACTGATTCCCTTACTCTGCTGTGTGTTATCACAGTGGTCAGCAAAGGGCAGGGTCTGCCTGGTGTGAAGAGTTGCCAGGGTGTGCAAACAGGAAGTAGCTCTGAAGTGGCAGTGACATTCAGCCTGGCCTCGGAGCTGTGTTATCCTGTTGATGCTGAGTGATTAGGTGGAGACGCTGGGCTTGGCCAGCAGAGGGGCCCAAAGACCAGCTCCCAGTGGCTCCCCATGGCTTTCTCCATGGAAAGGCTGTATGCCTTTAGGCTAGGGCTGTGCTGTGAGCAGTTGGCTTTCTAGGGCAGGTTCAGAGTCCTCCAGCCCATAAGGGGACAAGAGCTATGTCCCACCCCCATCTGCCCAACATGATTTCTGAGGGAACTCTGAAAGATACACAAGAGGACAGCCTTGGCTCTGGACCTCTCTGGAAGTCTGAGCCCACCTGATTAGGTTCTCCTGCATAGCTGCATACCCATTATACCCCCTGCCACAAGAAGTCTATAGCCCTCTGATGTATGTATGCATATGACTGTATATGTGAGTACAGGTGCATATGTGGAGGTCAGGGGACCACCTCTTGTGACAATGTTCACCTTCTACCTTGTTTGAGACGTTTATTATTTATTTATATTTATTTATTTATTTATTTTTGAGATAGGGTCTCCCTGTAGCCCCAGCTGGCTGGACTAGCTGACATTCCCACCAGCGGTGTGTAAGGGTTCCCTCGTCCACATCCTGGTCAGCATTCGTCAGCTGTTTTCCTAGTGACTGTCCTTCTGACTGGGGTGAGACAGAATCTCGATGTAGTCTCTGCTTGCATTTCTCTGAGGGCTAGAGAGGTTGATTGTTCAGCTGGCCTGGAACTCTATGTAGACCAGGCTGGCCTTGAATTTACAGAGATCCACCTGCCTCTGCCTCCTGAGTGCTGGGATTAAAGGCGTGCACCATCAGGCCCTGCGAGACAAGTTTCTTATATGTCACTGCATGCACCAGGCTAGCTAACCACAAACTTTCAGGGGGTCTCTTGTCTCCATCTCCTGCCTCAGTGTAGGAACACTGAGATTACAGACATGCACTAGTGTGTCTGGCTTTACTTGGGTTCTAGGGATCCAGACTCAAGTCCTCATGCTTATATAACAAGCACTTTACCCCCCAGCTTCCTCTGCTGTGTTTATGGAATGGTCTTCTTCATTCCTTAGAGGTTCAAGGGTGGGAACAGAGGAGAGTGTGTGGCAGTACTGGGAGCCACAGGAAGTTTCTGGGCACAGCAAGAAGTGTTCATGGAACTAGGCAATTACTCTGGTTCCCCCTCCTGCCTGGGGTAGTTCATTTGTTCCTTTACTTGTTTGAATATTCATCAAACACCTTAGGCAGTGGCTCTGACTCTAGACTGGAATATGCATCTTGGGGAAGATGTGGCAGGGGCTTTTGGGAACCTGAGCAAGGGGAGCCTCAACATGGAGGAGACTCCAGCTGCCCTCCTAGAACCTTGCTCTCTGCTCTGTCCCTGGTGATTTGGTTCCAGGTAGCCTGATTCCTTCTGGGGCCTTCTTTATGTGTATGAGTGTTTTGTCTGCATGTATATAAATGCACCTATGTGTGCAGTGCCATGGAGGCCAGAAGAGGGCATTGAATCCTCTTGAACTGGAGTTAGGAATGGTTGTTAGCTGCCATGTTGGGTTCTGGGAACTGAACCTAGGTCCTCTGCAAGAACAGCCAGTGCTCTTAACCACTGAGCCATTTCTCCAGCCCTTCATTTTTATTCTTGCAAGAGCTTTGGGGAGGGGGGTGGCAGGGGTCTCAAACTCCTGGATACAAGTGATCCTCCCACCTTGGCCTCCTGAGAGTTGGCTCTTGGTGCCCAGTTGATTTACTCTGCTGCTCAAGAGGACATTCTACCTGGCATCTAGATGTGGGCATGGAGGTTTGTCTCTGAACAGCAGGGTCCACCAAGGAAACCCAGGGCTCTAATAGGTGGAGTGGGGGGCAAGTTGCATGCCCCAGAAACCTACATCTACTGGTGTGGGGAGAAGCCATCTGCTGAGCTAAATTTAGTATTTGTCAGGAGCTGAAGCTGCTTCAGTATACAAGGAAAGCAGTGCTTTCAGGGAAAGGTCCAGGGACAGCCAGTAATAAGAAGACAGAGTTCTGCTATTTGAAATGGAAGGAGCCGTATAGCACCTTGTTTCTGCTGAGAACCCTTCTACTTCTATCAGACTTTATAAACAGTTTTATTGTCAACCTGGAAACCATGGATTCCAAGGAATGGGGAGCTTCCCGGTGTGGGAGGCAGATTAAGTTCATTCAGCTTTATCCAGCAGCTCTGGGTCCTCAGAGGCCCTGAGTGTCTTACCCATAAATTCATGATTTGGATGACCTAGCCACAGCCCTGCTGTGGAAGAGATGAATTGAATCCAGGGCCTGGCCAGCCACTTGTTGGTGCCAGAGTGCTAGAGAAAAAGCAGTGGAAACTGGGGTGCCTGCTGCCTTCCTCAAGGGGTGCTGGCAGTCCCTAGATGCTGGCTCTGCTGGACTTGGTACAGGTGGGTGGTCAGGTCTAATCATGACAGTACATCTTTACCTCCATGTGATAGTACGATCTTAGCTACTATATTGTAGGGTCCTTGCTGCCACCTGTGGGCAGAAATAACTTCTAAACCTGTGACTCATGTCCAGTATACTTCCCATCAAGGGAAAGTTTAGTGAAGAGACGTAAGATGCTAATGCCTGTTCCTCTTCACCTTCCTTAAGAGCCAAGAGGCCACAAAGACCAGAACTTGACAGTCAGGGATGAACAATGCCAGAAAGAGAAGAGGGGAGTGAGTCCAGATTTTTGCTGGTGTCCCAGGTGACAGCACACCTAGGCAGCAGTTGTCCAGATTACAGTGGGACAGGGCCTGAGAGGCTATCTGTGGGAAGGTGTACAAGAGGTATACAAGCTGTGTGAGTGTGTTGGAAGAGGTACAGTGCTTCCACAGTGACAGACAGCAGGCACACAGACTGACTGTGAGGATATGGTGAATCTTCTTCACTCTTAGGCCTTGGCTGTCTTCATTTGCCTTCAGATTTGCTGACTCTTGCCATCTCCAACTTGCTGTTGAGCAGTCAGTGACCTTTTTAGTGATTATGCAATGGGTGCTTGTGGGTACACTTGTGCTTATTTGTGCACACATGTATAGGCCAGAGATCAACATCCAGTGTCTTTCCTTTATCATACTACCTTATTTTTTCAAAAAAAGCTTTTTGGACTTTTTGAGACAGGGTCTCCCTGTAGCCACAGCCTGTAACTCACTGTGTAGACCAGAGTGGCCTTCATCTCACAGAGATCCTTCTGCCTCTGCCTCTCAAGAGCTGGGACTAAAGGCATGCGCCACCACACCCGGCTTATTTAAAATTATTATTATTTACTTGTGTGTGTGTGTGTGTGTGTGTGTGTGTGTGTGTGTGTGTAGATCAGAGGACAACCTGTGGGAATTGGTTCTCTCCGTCCATATTGTGGGTCCCAGAGATCAATCTCAGATCACCAGGCTTGGCAGTAAGCACCTTTCTTATTGAACCATTTTACTGCCTCTATTTTTTGAGACAAGGTTTCTCATTGAACCTGGAGGCACTGATCACCTCTACTGGTTGACAAGCCAGCTCCAGGTTTCTGCTTGTCTCTGCCCTCCCACCCCACTTCAGCTCCAGAGTTATAGATGCCTTCCTGTGCAGCTTTTACAGGAGTGCTAGGATTCCACACTGAGGTTCTTGTGCTTATGCATCAGGCACTTTACTGATTGAGCCGTCTCCCCAGGCCCTGGTGATACTTTAACATAAAAGAATTTCCATTTTGTTTTTCATATAGTTTCATATAATTTCCATTTCTCCTTTGCTTATTAAGACCATATTTTCCTTTGACTTCTTTAAAATATTTTATTATTTTTATTTTATGTGTATGAGTGTTATGCCTGCATGCATGTAAGTGCACCTGTGTCGTGCAGTGCTCATGGAGAACAGAAGAGGCTGTCAGATCCCCTGAAACTGGAGTTACTGACAGTTGTTAGCTGCCATGTGGGTGCTGGGATTTGAACCCAGGTCTTCTGCAAAAACAGTCAGTGTTCTTAACTGCTGAGCCATCTCTCCAGCCCCTCCTTTGACTTCTTGAACATGTTTTCTGTTCATCATAGCTGAATTATACAATCTATCATATCTATTTTCCCCCCTCTTTACAAGATGTATTTTCTCACTTTTTTCTAGATCTTGTTTTTTTGTTATTATTAACTGATCATTGTGAATTAAGCACTACAGACTCTGGATTCTGTTGTCATACTGTGAAGGGCACTGACTTACTCTCAAAGGCAGTTCCATTTCTAGCTGGTTATCTGGGCTGGAGGTGTGTTGAACACTCATTAGAGTGTCTGGGGGACTCGACATATTTCTTCATCGTCTTCATTTTGGGGGTACCATGCTCTGCAGCATCTTCCTGAGGATTTGGAGGGATTTAGATTTAGACTGGGAAGCATGCTTCCTGAGCAGACTATGCTGTCAATGTGATTCCAGAAGTGGCCATTCTGTTGTTAGACGAGCTCCTTCCTCTTGGCTCCACTGAACTCTAGGTTGTTGTACATACAGGGAAATTTTAGTGAAGAGATGTAAGGTGCTAATGCATGTTCCTCTTCACCTTCCTTAAGAGCCAAGAGGCCACAAAGACCAGAACTTGACAGTCAGGGGTGAACAATGCCAGAAAGAGAAGAGAGGAGTGAGGCCAGATTTCTGCTGGTGTCCCCAGGTGACAGCACACCTAGGTAACAGCTGTCCAGATTACAGTGGGACAGGGCCTGAGAGGCTATCTGTGCAAAGGTGTTTGAGAGGTATGCAAGCAGCCCCGTGTTTTCTACCCAACATGGCTGTTGCTAGTCTGGATTTAGAAATAGATAGGCCCTCCTCTCAGGTCAGCACTCCAAGTGACCCTACATCCCACAGGGGAAACCAAGGCCCTCAGAGATAAAGCCAGAAGCCAGGGTGCCAGCTTACAACAGTGGGGTGATGGAGGGACTTCTTCCCTAGGGAGCAGCACTGCTACAGATGTTGGGGTAAAGGGTCAGGATTGGGTGCTGACTGGCTGCAGTGGCAGGGTCTGTCAAGTCCTGGCCTGTTCTAGGATTGGAACACTGCTTGAGGGAGGGCCAGGTCCTTGATTTCTCCTGCCATTTCCCTGACTTCTTACACTCAGGGTCTGATTGGGTCCCTGCTTCTTTGGGTACTGTGGGGTTCCAGACCCCCTCTGCCACCTCCCAGCAATAAAGGATGGGCTCCCCAACCTGTATGTAGCGGCCTGCCTCCATTCTCAGCTCTGCCAAGATGGACCCAGGAAACCCCACTGCTAGAAACCTCACTGCTGGAGAGCCCACTTCTGGAGATCTCACTGCTGCTGGAAAGCCTACTGCTAGAGACTCTGCTGCTGGTATGCCTGCTAGTGTCCCCTCTGCTGACACATGCTGCTCTGCTGGTGAGCCGGTGCCCCTAAGGTGCCTGAGCCCAGTTGAATGTATTTGATAGGTGTGCATGCTCAGGGTATGTGTGGGTCAATGTGGTAATAACATTGCACTTGCCCACAGGTGGTGAGGGGCTGCCCTCAGATCCTTCAGGTTCCTACCTGAGGACCTTTCCCCAGTGATCACAGCCTAGGTCCCTGTGAACCAAGGAGGCACAGCTGTGGCTGAGGTCATCTTAGGACAGACTGCCTTCTTGAGCCCCAAATGGGGTGGATACTGGGAGGTGGCCAATGGCAGACCTACTCAGAGACAGTCTGAGTGATGAGGTTTAAGTTCTCCCAGATGTGGCATGAGGACATAGCCTCATGCTATGACAGGGGCCAAAGCCTCCTGAGGGACCAGCACTCACTTCTGGTGGATTCATGGAACACTTAGACTTCTTATGCACCCATGGTGTACCTTACATGTTCCCTGTAGTTGGCAAAACCAGGCCATTATTTAATCCCTTTAAGCTAAGAATCATACCTGCCACCCCACAGTTTTGAGATTGAAGTAACAGAAAGACAATTACCATTTCCCTTGTGGGTAAAGCCCCCATCTTGGGAGCCTGGGGGCCCTCAGCAACTGAGGACTGGGCTCTCCACACCAGCAGGTATGCTGAGGCCTCCTGCTCCCTTGTATTGTGTCACTATTTCATTTCTATAGTTTTTTTCATCTGTTTATTTATTTTATATGTATGAGTGAGCCTGTGTGTGTGTAAGTGTACCTGTGTCATGCAATACCCACGGAGACCAGAAGAGGTTTGATCCCCTGGAGCTGCAGTTATGGACAATTGTTAGCTACCATGTGGGTGCTGGGAACTGAACCCAGGTCCTCTGCAAGAGCAGCTATTGCTCTTAACCACTGAGCCATCTCTCCAGTCCTACCACTTCAGTTCTCAAAAAGAATGAACCTATATGCATGCCTTCCTGGCCAGGGCGTGAACAATGCTATGCTCAAGGGTGTTTGGACACTGGTTCCATACTGGTCTTGTCCTCCAAGTGGGACTTTGGTCAACTCTGCTAGGACCTGTCCTTCCTGCTCACTCCTCCAACTTGAGACTGGGGGAATTGAAGATGTGTGAAATGGGGGGCCTGGGGCCCAAGGCTAGCCTGAGCTCCTTTCCTGGGCTATTCTCTGCACCCCAAGATGGTATATGGCCTCCTGTGATGGACCCCTTAGGGTCTTAGGTAAGGGGGATGTCCAGGGCCTATAACTTTGTGATCAAAAGGAACATAAGAGTGGCCTTGGTAACCTAGAGCCAGGCTATTTCTCTCTGCTCTATGAGCCCAGTAGACCCCTGTGCTCAGGCTATGCTGCCTCCAACAGCCATTAACCCCACACCTCACAGCAGGCTCCAGAATGGGCCACTTATTCCATGAGTTACACTGAAGATCAGGTTGGCTACATAGAGACCCAGGGCAGGAACATGGAGACCTACCCCTTACCCCAACTCTGATTCATAAGTACCCAGTTCCTGGCAACACAGACTCCAACCCCTGACCACACAGACCCCCAAACCCAACTACAGACATACGCACCTGACCATAAACACCCAGACTCCAATCACAGATACCCTAGACTCTGATTGTGCAACCCCCAGGCTCTGCCTACAGAGACCCCAGACTCTTAACTACATAAATCCCTCAGACTTTAGCTGCATAGACTCCCAGATTCTGATCACACAGACACCTAAACCTCAAACACAGAGACCCACAAGACCCTGACCTCATTGACCCCTCGACCTCAACCACACAGATTCCAGACCATGACCACAAAGATCCCAGATTCTGAGTACACAGATGACCACACAGACCCCCAGACCCTGATTTCACAAAATCACAGACCCTGACCACACAGATACCCAAGCAAGAGGATGAAGACCTCATTCTGAGGATCGGGGTCAACATTTTCTGAGCCTGGCACTGCCCTCCACAGTTAAGTTCTTATCTTCATGGGTCTGACCGGACATAAAAGTATTTAATCCATCCTGCCAAGAGGGATGAGAGGGACCGGAGACATGCCTGAAAAACAAGGGCCTACCCGAGATCTGAGCGCAGGAGCCCAAGGTTGGTTTATTGCCTTGCCCCAACCCAGTCCAGGCACAAAGGAACTACCCCCAGCACTCAGTGCCCTGTGCCCTATCCTCCCCCTATCCTCCCTAGGTCCTAACAGGCCACAGAGGCCCATGATTGGGTAGTGTTTCTGGTATGAGGCACTGGTATGATCAGCAGGGAGCTGCTGTTACCACATGTACTAACTACAGGAGTTATGCCTTCTTTGTTCTGTCAGCTGTCCCATCCTAATGCTCGCCATAGCAATATCTAAACTAGGTCATTGTATCTAGGGAGTCGGCTCTGGCCAGGAGGCCAGACCAGAGAAGGAGAGAGAGCCCAGGGCCTGAGGCAGCAGAGAAGGCAAGGGAGTGTTCCTGGAGGATGAGGCATCTTCATGCCCTTCCCCATCCCAGACTCCCAAGCCTGTGTGTCTACTACTCCATCTCTCTCAACTGGACATCCAGCCAGGGCATGAGAATGGCAGGCACAGGGTCTCCTCTGGCCTTTCTTCTCTCCTGCCCTGAGATCATCTTCAGGTACACAAAGATTCAGTTGCCTCCATGTGCAGGACATGAACTGAATCCACCTGACCCGCCCATGTGTTCAGCCCAAGTGAGAGGCCCCAGCCAGATTGCCTTCCAGCAGACACATATCAGAGCCTGGCCAGTCCCCCCTCTGTGTATCCCAGGTTCTCTGGCTTCCCCTACTCCTTGCTCCCCCCTCTTTGAGCTCTCTCTACCTGGTTTCTTCCCCACACCTGGGTTCCCTTGAGTTGACAGCTCTAAGTCAGTGTTGGAGCCACCCAGCCTCCTTCATCTCTGGCTGTCCCAAATGAGGGCCATATGTGCCCTACCCAGCTCCTGCCCAGACTGTTTGGCATCTGACGGGTAGCTTTTTCTGTCTCTAGGGTCATGGCAGAGAGGTTAAGGCAGGCTTCTCAAAACCATGAAAATAGGGCACATGGCTACCTATGAGCAGAGAAGGCTAATAATCCTTGCTGTAATAGTAAATTACCTGAGCTTCTGTTTTTTTGTTTGAACAGTGGTGGTAAATACCAATTCTTGTCTCTATTTCTTTGTGACTATCAAACAATTTAGTTTTTGTAAAGCTACCCAGCAGCAGATGCTGTCTGGGTTGGTCCAGGTGGAATTCTTTTTGCTGTGCAATCCAAGGTTGGGCCTGACTCTGTTTCTCTAGACCACTCAGATGTCCTGACGATAACCAGTAAACAGTGAAAGAACTCCATCCCAGGCCAGACCCAACTGTCCCTGGTCTCTCCCTGGCTCTGCTGTCCTTTTGTTCATTCTCATGCCATTACCACTCTGTTCCAAAGGTTGTGGACTAGTGAGATGGAAACACTTCATTGCTTGTGTGTGTGTGTGTGTGTGTGTGTGTGTGTGTGTGTATGTCCTCCCATTAAGCATCAAAATGAACCTCTCTAGGTTCACAAAGATCCTCCTGCAGTGGATCAAAAAGATCCATTTTATTTATTTATTTTTTTTGGTCTTTTTGAGACAGGGTCTCCCTATAGCCCCAGCTGTCCTGGAACTCACTATGTAGTCCAGGCTGGCCTTGAACTCACAGAGATTCGCCTGCCTCTGCCTCCCAAGAGTGCTGGGATTAAAGGCGTGCACCATCATGCCCAAAAAGATCCATTTTTACTGATTATTACTGTTGTCAGTTTACCTGGGGGCACTGGCACTCCTTTGGTGGCTGACTTCTTGCCCAGGGTGTTTTGAAGCTTGATGTAAATGTTAAGATGTCTCCTGGCTAGGCAGGATCAGACCTCCCCACATCTTGCTCTCATGACTATTCTTAAGTTGTTTTTTTGTTTGTTTTTATCTTTTTTTAAAAATTTTATGTGTATGCGTGTATTTCCTGCATGTAGGTAAGTGCACCTGTGTCGTGCAATGCCCGAGGAGGACAGAAGAGGCCGTCAGATCCCCTGGAACTGGAGTTACGGACAGTTGTTAGTTGCCATGTGGGTGCTGGGATTTGAACCCCAGATCTTCTGCAAGAACAACCAGTGTTCTTAACCTCTGAGCCATCTCACCAGCCCCTGTTTTTGTCTTTTTGAGACAGGGTCTCCCTGTAGCTCCAGCTGGCCTTGAACTCACAGAGATCCGCCTGCCTCTGCCTCCCAAGTGCTGGGATTAGAGACATGTACCACCACACCTGGCTGTATTCTTAAATGTTTTTATGTATGAGTGGTTTGTCTACATGTGTTCAAGTGCACCCATGCATGCAATGCCCATGGAGGCCAGAAAAGGGCATCAGATCCCCTTGAACTGGAGTTACTAAAAGTTGTTAGCCACCATGGGGGTACTGGGAACTGAACCCAGGTCCTCTGCAAGAGCAGTCAGTGTGTGCTCTTAACTGCTGAGCCATCTCTCCATCCCCCTTCATGATTAGTCTAATAAACGGGAGCCCCCATGTGATGCTGCAAGTGCTAGTCAAGCCAGGATGGGTACATACTCCCACCTGCCTTTATTAGGTCTCTTACCTGGGGATGCAGGTTCCACAGGTAAGGCATCCAGACTGGCCCCAGCCCACAGGTGGGTAGGTCTTCACACCCTGAGACCCAAAGCCCTTTCTGCAGTGGGTGTGCAGTGAGCAATGTGGGACCATGGCCAGCCGGTGTGCAGCGAGGGGGGTCTGACTGTGACCAGTGGGTATGAAGCGAAGGGGTGCAATTGGGACCAGCAGTGGTACCGTGCCCTGGAATATTTGAGGACCAAACATGGACTCCTGCCACAGATGCTGTGCCAGGCTCTGGCAACTAGCCTCAGACCAGGCAGCCCCCTCGGGGTCCCCAGGTGAGTAGACAAGTGCTGCCTGCTGTTCTCTTCACCTGTTGCCTTGCCACCTGCCTGGACCCAGGGACAACTGGCCCCTATATTGGCACAGCACAGCAGATA